CATGGAATCCTGACTACACTAGTCATCTTTCAACCTGTAACAAAACATCTGACATAAACAACTTCAAAGGGGAAGATTTGCTTTTACTCATGGTATTAGAAGTTTCAGACCATGGATGCTTGATCCCATCCCTGTGGGCTTGCAATGAGGCAGAACATCATGGTGGGGAGCATGTTATAGGGAAAACTGCTCACTTTGTGTGGAGAGAGAAAGGGGCAGGGGAAACAGAGGGAGTGAGAGAGAAGAGAGAACATGCAGCAGGTGCTGGGGACAATATCTACCCTTCAATGGTACATCACCCCACCCCATGCACTTAACTTTGCTCAACCAAGTCCCACATCCTAGAATTTCCACCACCTCCCAAAAGTGCTGTCAGCTGGAGATCAAGCCTTTAACATATGAGCTTTTGGAGGATATTTAATATCCAAACCATAACACTCTAGAACTGTGTAGAACAAGTCCTTCATACTGAAATTTTCTCTTGAAAATTTATCACTCTCATCTAACTGTTGATGACAACCTAAATCTGTTTTTCTTTTTTAAGAATGATATATGAAAATAGTAAGATAACATACAATTCTCAAACCTATCCTCACTTTAAGTCACCTGGGATAGCTTTAAATAGCCCCAGACCAGGATCACACATTAAACCCTTCAATCTGATTCACCCAAAGAGCAATCGGGTACCAATCCTGTCTGTGAAACTTGCCAGGGGATTTCAATGAGCAGCTAAGAGAAGAAACAGTGGCTCAGAGCAGAGGGTTTCAGTAATTAGATGTGAATCAAAACCAGCCAGGAATTGAAGCAAACTCTGGAGCCAGGAAATATCCTAGTCTGCTGTGTAGAGAATTTTGTGAAAACCACCAGCAATACCAATGAAGATGTATCACAGATATATAACTCAGATAAATCCTAGAGGAAGGTGTCCACAGCAGCTCAGAGATGGGAATGTGAGAGGCAAAGATTATGTAACTCCTGTCCAATTCTCTTCTCACCGTCTCCTCAGAGTGCTGGGAGGATGCTTTCCTCACCAAGGTGTTGATGTACCACTTAGTACAGATAGGTATAAGAATGCTAGGTGTTCTGATTAGTAACCAACCTTGAGCCCTGCATCTTCTGAACTTTTACCTAGTTCCATCTAAAGCCAATTTATGTGTCAGATGACATCCTTTGAGTAGAAGTCTGGTGCCTCTAAGAAATATCCCTGTACTGCATTTCAGAGAATATTCTTCTTACACAGACTTTGCTGAAGGACATTTAGTCATACAATTATTCACTAAAGAATAAATAATGTCCAAATATTCTGGAATCTCAAATTTAATACCTTTATTTTTATCCCATTTTCTTTAGGGTAAATGCTTTATTGTCACTTGAATGAAAAAAAAAAAAAAACATTTCCCTTTGCTAAGGTGTGGTGAGCCGTTTCTGTGAACTGTGGCCGCCATTACAAGATGGCGCTGGTTTCCCCTGTAGTCTGTGACAAACAACTCCTTATCAGAATGAGTTGGCACGCTGTGACTTGGCACCCTATGAGAAAAGTCCACGTGGCAGTTGTGCATTGGGGCTTTATCTGCTTTATTAAGGCTGGGGCACACGGGAGTAGTAGTAGTGGCAGTAGTAGTAGCAGTAGTAGTAGTGGCAGTAGTAGTAGCAGTAGTAGTAGTGGCAGTAGGAGTAGCAGTAGAAGTAGTAGTAGGAGTAGCAATAGAAGCTAAAAGACATGTCAATACAAAGGCCTGAATAAACAGCTGAAAGAAGAAAAAGTATCAAGGACCTGAATAAACTGCTGAGAGAAGATTCCCGGGTTTCGGCACCACTTGTCGCGACCCCTTGCCCGCAAGGAAGACGCAACTTGGGAATCTTCTCTCAGCAGTTTATTCAGCTCCTTGATACTTTTTCTTCTTTCAGCTGTTTATTCAGGCCTTTGTATTGACATGTCTTTTAGCTTCTATTGCTACTCCTACTACTACTTCTACTGCTACTCCTACTGCCACTACTACTACTGCTACTACTACTGCCACTACTACTACTCCCGTGTGCCCCAGCCTTAATAAAGCAGATAAAGCCCCAATGCACAACTGCCACGTGGACTTTTCTCATAGGGTGCCAAGTCACAGCGTGCCAACTCATTCTGATAAGGAGTTGTTTGTCACAGACTACAGGGGAAACCAGCGCCATCTTGTAATGGCGGCCACAGTTCACAGAAACGGCTCACCACACTAAGGTAGTGAAGGTAGTCTGCCACATTAAATAACATTTTGGAAGAGATAAATACAATTCCATTTTTTCCACATGAGTAACCAATTGCTCTGAAATAATTCCTTCAAAATTTGTTTTTTTCCCATAAATCTCTTAATGTTACCAGTGTTATATATCAACAATTTATATTACATATAGTGCCAGTTTGTATGTATGCATGTGTTACCTCTATCTGTTATTCACACAGTCACACATGCATAATGTCTACATGAGTGTTGTTTGGTTTGTGTCTTTCTACTCTAAGATCTACTTGTCTATCTCTATATCAACACATACTCTCTGTTTATGATAACTAAAATGTAAGTCTTGATATCTCCTAAGAGAATACAGTCCTTATTATTCTTGATTAAATGTGCCTTGGCTAATCTTCATGTATATTTCCATATAAGGCTTAGAATCAGCTAACCAAATGCTTCAAAATGCCTACTGACTAGTTGCTTGAGATTTATCAGAATTCTTGGAACATTTTCAGAAATTAATGCCATTGTAATATTGAACCACAAGCCAGATTCTTGGCAATTCTCTTCAGTTAATTAATTGTCTTCTCTACTGAATAAGGTTGTTAAAATGTATCATTTGGTATTTGGAGGAAAATTTGTAGGTTTCATTCTAAAAGTGTAAAAAGTGTATTTTTACTATGCCAATTATTTTTTGTTGAATTCACACTCTGTTTGCTTCTGAAATATAAAACACTGAAATAAACATATTTATCTAGCCACACAGGAAGCTGTTATTTTTTTTCTAATTGTTTCTTAGTCGTTGCCAGATCTTTTATTTTATTTATTTATATGTGGTGCTGAGAATAGAACCCAGTGCCTTACACATGCCAGGCAAGTGCGCTACCACTGATCCATTGTCCCAGCCCAAAACTGTTATTAATTCCAAAGATTTGTAATGATTGGGTCTTTATGAATTCAATGTATTATAATTTGCAATTTATGAAAATTCTATATCTCTCTTCAAACCCTTCTATATTTATTTACTTTCTCCCTGGATCTCTTTGAGGAGGTCTTCAATTATAATGCTTAATAAGAGTAGCTGAAAAATAGCACCTTAATGTACATTTTGGTATTCAGATTTTCGGATCATGTATGTTAAAGTAGAGCTGTAACCCACAGGAGAACTGGCTGACTGATTCTAAAGGGACAGCCTTTGGGGCCCATTTCAACACAAGGGATCCCTGGTGTCCCACATATGCCCTTTGCACCTTTGCCCTCAAGCCCTGAGAGGCTCCCAGGCACTGTCCCAGCCAGCAGACACACCCAGGACAAAAGCACAGTGTACTTAACTTCTTATTCTGGATTCTGCCTCTTATTCCAGGCCTAGTAAACCTTTAGTGTTTTCTCCACCTGTCTGCCCTTTAGCCTTATTTTTCAAGTGTGTACTTTTCCCCTCAGTTTTCCAGTTGTATTCCATGGGAGGGATGGTCCAAATTAATTGGCCAGTGTGGGAAACCAATGAACAGAGTACAATTTTATATGTTAGCATCAAAAATAAAGGAAGAAAACCATAAGCACCAATAATGGCCATTTAAGCAAGTGTAACTTGGATGTAATGAAAACAAAATGTTCCATAGCATCTCTACATGCCTTAATTAAAATGCATATCAATAAATGATGACTTGAAAATTGTACATTTAGCTCATGACTATGATCCTGATTGACAAACATGAGAGTAAACAGAACATATTTGAACACTAAATTGAAAAACACATGTAAAATAGCATCTGGAAGTTGGAACAGTGAGTGGCAGTGTGAGGTGGGCATGTGACAAGGGTCCAGGGGCAGCAGCAGTGGCCTATGTTACACAAGGGTATGAAGACTGTGTGGGCAGTGGGTGTCTGACATTCTGGAGAGGCCCTTGCATATTGAAACTACAACACCCAAATGACAATCTTGCTAAAAACAGGAGGAAATAATCTGATGACAGCAGGGTTTACCAGCCACATCACTGTACAATGTAAACTAGACAAGAGAGCTCTGGATTTGTGCATGCTGTTCACAGTAGGCTATAAAAGAGAAAAAGGTCTCCCTTGGAGGCTGTAGTTGAATTTTTGTGCCCTTACCATCTTCAAATTCTTGCTAAACAATCTCTGAGAAAAGGAAATTATGCCTGTTCAGGATGGCCCATGGGAATTCCTCCTGGAAAGCTCATCTCTGTCAGGCTATAGAGCAGATGACTTGCAAAGGATTGGCACCAACACCTCAGTTGTTATGAAGAACACTGCCAAATTCCTCAGAATTTGAAGCCAGCACATTCATTTAACATCATCTGCAAAATGCCACAGACTCTAGAGATGAAAAATTATGTTCTATATGTGTAATAAGAACTATAATGCATTCTGCTGACATATATTTAAAAAATAAAATCAATTAAAAATATTTTTTAAAAATGCCACAGTCTCTGGCTCTCATCACTGTCTATGTTAAACATATGTTTAACTCTCTGTCAAACATGGAGACAAACATGTTATTTTTGTTGACCCTTTCACACGGTCCCTTCCCGGAACATGAACACAGGCCAGGAATATTTCATATTTAAAAGTTTCACATTTAAAAATATTTAAACATTTATAATGTAAAATGATATAGACAAGAGGTAAGACAGAGAGTCAGAGAGGATTTGAAGTTCCCTCAACACTGAAGGAGAGTATTTTAGGTTTCTTGGGAGGAGGCAGAATAAGGACACTTACAAAAAATATCATTTATTAAAATACCATAATTATATGTAATGTTCTAAAATACAGTAAAATAATAAGAATACTAGTACAGAACAGCTGCACTAGTTAGCAAATATATGTTTCCACATTGTAGAGATGAGGAAACAAAAGCACCAAGACATAAAGTGCTTGTCACAGCAGGGCTGCCCAGTGTAAGCTCCCCCCCGTAGCTCCAGGAGCTCTCAGCAAAGGTTGACACCCCAGCTGTGTGAATCCAGTGTAGTCACTTGGTGCCCTCTGCTGCTGATCCAGGTTATATAGGCTCAGGGGCTCTGGGGAAAAAGAGGAACCAGTCAGTGTTCAATTTGTTGCAGAATATTGCTGTTTACTCCCTTGGGATTTCTCTCTCCTCAGTTCCTCAAGAATCAGATTTGGCCCTTCTCTGAGGGAAGTAAATGCCCTAACTTTTTTTCTCCTCTCATCCCATTTTCCTGCCCTTATCAGGCTCCTCTGTTTCTATCAGCAGTATCATCTGTCTTTTTTTCCACCACAGAAGGGAGTGAAAGGGCTGCAGGATTTAGGGTCAAGATCTGAAAGTGAAGTCCAGTGTCCCCTCCTCCAAACGTAAATCATTCCCTACAGAGTGAGGGCCTCCAAGAGAAGGCATCTCCTGCTCCTGCCAGGCTGGGCACAGGCCTCACACAGAGCCATTCTGCCCTTTAGTTCACAGGCCTCCTCCTCTGCAGAGGCAGGTGCTCACCCAGCAGGGCCTGCTCCACTTGCAGTTCAGCATCACTCCCTCCCAGCCCTGAGCCAGCAGCTCCTAACTGGACAGTCCACCAGGAAGCCCAGGGGCACCAGAAGGCCTAGCTGGAAAAGTATGCCTGCCACATGATCTGCTGCTCCCTTGCCTACAACAGCCCATGCAGAGGAGACTCAGAATCACTGACCCTCTGCACCTGCCCAGGCTCTCAATCTGCACTTTTGCTTCCCCTACCTGCGTGGATTACCTGCTGCTGGGAACCCAGCTCTTCCCCATGGGCTTCTTTTTCCTGAGGCTTCCCTGGACTCCCTTCCTCCATTCCTAGCAGGGACTTCTGCAGGCCACAATCCTCACAGTCCTCAGAGGTCTTCTTCCCAAAGAAAACTAGGGTTTTCCTGAGATTCTGCAGTGTGAACTGTAGGCCCATCTTCTGTTCCTTTGCATTGTCATGGTCACAATCCAGATCTCCCACAGGGGACACTCCTTTAGAGGGATCTAGAAGGGTGTCAATTAGTGCACATTAGTACATGAGTGCTGGAGAACTGCTTATTCACATGATACAGTTGAAACTGGGAACATCCTTACWGAGATTCAACATTCAAAGTAGAAATTTGCAAAAATAAGCAACAGGCCTTTCCCACTCTTTTCCTGGGCACTGCCCTAGTGACATTCCAGGCAACCATTTCTGACCACAAGAAAGTAGAACTAGCATTGCCYTTGTTCCCCCTCTTGGAAGGCCATAGATGGGAGTGGCAGAGACCACAGAGCTGCCTACCCTACTTGTAGAGTCACCTGAATGGGCCCCTGCTATGGGACTGTGTGCCCTAGCCTGTGGGGACCAACACCCCTTGGGGCTACAGTGGAAAATTCCAAACATAAGAAAAAACAGTGACCACAGCTGCCCTATATTAGGTTGGTCTCTCTCCCCAGATGACCAAGGACATAAGCCATTCTCCCATTCATGTCATCTGCAAGGCCACTCCAGGAGGAAGAGCTGAATAGTGGGGACAGGATGGTGACTGGCATGGCCAAGTGACCCAGAGGAGATACTCAGAAGACAGCTCCTAGGAGGGCCTGCTCTACACAGGCCTCCCAGGGGCTGCATTGACAGGGCTCTGGCCCTATGGATCTTTTTCCTGGTTTGCTCCTGACAGCTGGAGACACTGGGGGAGAGTGAGGGGAGGGACCAGTGGCATCACAATTAATGAAATTCCTCTCCAGTTTCTAAGTACCCTAGGGTCACAACTCATTCATTCTGTGTCCCCCTGAGGGCAAGATAATCTAGCCAGCACCAATCAGCCCTCCTTTCCCAACACAGTCCTCTGGTCAACCCAGGAAAGCCTGAGAGACAGATGAGGACAGCAGAAGCCACAGCCCCACTGCTGCTCACTCCTCACCCTGCAGCCACAGAGGCTGCATCTGGACCTTCAGAAATATTGACAGCCCTGGCTTTTGGCAAAACTAAGGGGTGTGGCTGGAGTCAGAACTCCATTCTCTATTCCAAAAATCTGGTCACCTCCATTGCTGTGTGTGCAGCAGGAGGCACAAGAGACTCTACATTCCAAATAGGCCCTGCAATCGTCAGCCAGTGAACGCTTTTCTCACCTGAACCTTCTGAGGTACATTTTGTCTTCCTTTTCTTGCAGGAGCAGACACAAACAATAATCATAATCACAGCAACAGCAGCAGCAGCCACACCCAGGATGGCAGCCCATTGGCTCTTAAACAGCAGTGCAGTCCCTGAAAGCAGGATTGTTACACTCTGGGTACTGAGTCTCAAAGCTTCTCCCCTCTCACCACCCTGGTCACTGAGTCACCTGGTTGGGAACCACTGCTGGGATTCCCAGGCTTACCACAGGACACAAGGCCAGTGCTGTTGTTCCCRCTGTGTCCCACATGGCAGCTGAACCCCTGCTCCAGTCCTTGGGGAATCCTGGTAGACACCCAGGTCTGGTAGGTCCCATTCTCATAGRAAAAGATACCACCAGACTGCTGGGYRYCCTGGCTCAGGGGTTCCCCATCCTGAAGCCAGGTCAGAGAGATATTCTGGGGATAGAAGCCAAAAGCCCAACATGTCACATTGATGGTGTCCTCCAGGGCCTCAGCACAGGTCACATTCACTACTGGGGACACTGGAGGGAAATAAAGGCAAAAATAGTCAGGCATGTGACCAAGCCTCACTCCCCTTCTCCACTCTTCTGACTCTGGCCTAAGACCTCATTGAAGTGAGGTCCACAAGTCTGTTTTCAACCTGGAGCCCAAGTCCTCTGGCTGGCAGGAGGATGGTCACTGGGCTTGTGGCCTCACATTCTCACTTCAACGTGTTATGTTAAATAGGGGGTGTTATAGGAATTCTGGTTTGTGAGGTGATGAGGGGTATTTTGGAGGGTCCAGGGTTGTGGGGCCAGGTGGGAGCTCTCTATGATAGCAGGCAGGCAGGGAGGTGAGGGCTCACTAGTGTCTGGGCACATACACCCTCCTGTCTCTATCTAGCGGTGTGACAGGACAGGCAAATCACAACACGATAAACTCACACAAGGTCCTCTGGGCAGAGGCTCCAGGGGAGTAGGAGGAGCCCTTCCAGAAGACTAGATATCTCCTGAGTCTTCCACAAAGCTCTCCCTGCACTTGGGCCCAGTAATCCTTGCTTTGCATGCCATCTGCATCCCAGGAATTCTTGACTTCCATAGCCAAGTTCTGAGCTGAGGATGGCTCCACTGTCCAGCTGCGTGTCTCTGGATGATAGGAGAGGAAGGGCTCCCCATCGTAGTAGAAATTCCAGAAGGCCCTGGTGCGGTTGTCCTTGTGAATCTTGCAGCCCCAAGTCTCCTGGAGGAAATGAGACCCTGCCCCCACCCACCAGTCACTTCTCCATGCCCTTGGTCCTCTGCCTCCCTGCCCACCAAGGGAAAAATACTAGCCCACAGGGGACCCCAAACTGGCTCTCCTCCAAGTCCCCTATGCAGATCTGTATAAAGCCCATTTCTTGCCCTCCCCAGTCAACTGCAATGAGAAGACACGGGTCCTGGAGAAAGCCTCACATCACACTTGCCCCTGCCCACACTCACCTCCTTTCTGCTCTTGCCAGGCATTGATATCTGCCAGGGTTGCTTTTAGATTCTTGCTGTGCTCTGCCAACTCCTGGATCTCTGTGTCCCAGCTCTCAGTTCCCAAAGGTTTTTCTGCCCATGGCCCCTGGGGCTTTGCACTTTCTTTTTTGTCATTATCAAAGTGAAGGAAGAGCTGATGGTCCCAATAACCATTGGCAAAGGACCTTGATTGCACTGATCCACCTTGGGACCTCACTGTGAGGTTATAGTGAAGACTGTGGGTCCCTGTGGAAGAGGAAGCAACAGATGACACCTCTTCCAGGAAACAACTGCTCATCATTGCTCACCACAAAGGCTCTGCTGTCCTGAGCACCTGAGGAGGCAGCAAACATACACAGACAAAGGGACAGAAGAAAGGTTCCCAATGCAATGAAGACAGGAAAGTGGAGAGGAAGGAGAGGGGAAGCGAGGAATGGACAAAGGGGAAATGGAGAGGGGCAGGCAAGTTAGCCAGGGCCCAACACATAGGCATGAGTTCTTAAGGGTACAGGTGGGTGTTCAAGGGGAGAGGTTGGCCTACAGAGGCAAGGGAGGTGTGGGAGGGGCAGAGGTGCATGTCAGGGCTTGTCAGAGTGCAGAGAGGGCACAGGAAGGACAGAGGGTGGGTGGACCTATGGTCACTGAAGTGGAGCCCAGGCAGGGCAGGTCCCCAGAGGGTGTGTGTGTGCTGTCTATGTGCAGACATCTCATGGATAAGGTGGGGCAGACAGGGGGTCAAAGTAAGTGTGAGGGTTGTGGCCCCAAAGTGTTGAGTGGGGTTGTACCCTAAAGGGAAGTGAAGCAGTGGGCTTGGTCCAAAGTAAATGATCCGCATCTGGAAGCCTCAGGTGGGGGACTTAAATTGTCCTAGTAGCATTCCCTGGGAAAAAGCAGGTAGCAGTGTTTCCAAAGAGCTGATGTAGCTTTTCTTTTTTCTTTCTTTCTTTCTTTCTTTATTTTATTTGTTCTAATTAGTTATATGTGACAGTAGAATGCATTTTGTCCCATCATACATAGATGGAGTATATATAGCTTCTCATTGCTTTGGTTGTATATGATGTAGAGTTATACCAGTCGTGTAATCATATATGCACATGGGTAATAATGTCCGAAACAGTCTACTATCATTCTTACTCCATACCCCCTCCTCTCCTTTCACTTCCCTCTATCTAATCCAAAGTAACTCTATTTTTCCATAGCCCCCCACAAACACAATGTATCTTTCCAATAGATGTGCTAGAAAATTTGGATTTTCACAAACAATGAAGTTGGATCCTTTAGTTACTCATGTATAGAAATTAACTCAGGTCTGGGGATGTAGCTCAATGATAGAGTTATTGCCTAGCTTCTGCAAATGCCTGGATTCAATACTCAGAGTGTGTATTGAATCCAGGCATTTGCAGAAACTCAAAGTGAAAAAAATGCAGACTATAAAAGCAAACATTCTTAGAAGAAAACACACTGACTGGTACATATTGTGATATGTGTCTGTAATCCCAGATACTCAGAAAACTGAGGCAGATGAGTGGAAGTTAAAAGCCAACCTGGACAACTTAGCAGAACCCTTTTTCAAAATAAAAATTTACTGGGAGTAGCTCAGTGGGGACCACATACTAGAATGTGAGAGAACATGGATTCAACTCATAGTACAAAAATAAAACAAATAACAAGTATATATAATATATGACAATGTATTGGCAGTAATCTTCAGAACAAAGGATTTAACCACATTTTCCATAGGATGCCAAAAGCACACAGTAGAGAAAAAAATTGATAAATTGGACTCATCAAAATTAAAAACATCTATACACCAAAGGTCACCCACAGAAATGATAATGTGTGAAATGGGAGAAAATATCTGCAAGTCACATATCTAATAAGAGATGAATATTAAAATATATCAATATATCTTGGGCTGGGGTTAGCTCAGCTATAGAACACCTACCTAGCATGTGCAAGGGCCTAAGATTGATCCCAGCTCCATAAAACAAGCAAACAAAAAAAATCTCAAAAACTCAAAAATAAGAAAAATGTTGAATTTATTCAGAATTGGGCAAAGTATCACTACAGCCACGTGACTGATATACAAATAGCCAATAAGCACACAAAGAGACACTCAACATCAGCAGTCATTAGGGAAATGAAAATAAAAGCACAGTGACATTCTACTTTGTACCCATGAGGATGACTACTGTTTAGAAAAAAGAATGCAGAATGAACAAGTTCATAACTACAGAGAAAACTGCAGCACGGTGCATTGCTTGCCTATATATACAATGGAGCAGCTGCTATGAAAATGGTATGGTAGTTCCTCCAAATATGGAAAAGATACTTTCTATATAATCCAGTAATTGTATTTCTGGACATAAACACAAAAGTTGTGAAGACAGGGAAATCCAGAGGTATGTGTACACCCACATTCATAGCAACATTGTTCCTCAAATCCAAAAGGTACAAATAACCAGAGTATTTATCAACTGATGAAAACCTAATCACAATATGGCTTATATGTGAAATGAATATTATTTAGCATTGAAAAGGAAGGACATTCTGACAATTGCTACACCATGGATGATCTTGAGGACATGAGCTAAGTGGAAAAGCCAGTCATGAAAGGACAAATTCTGTATGATTGCACTTGTATGGAACTAGGGAGTTAAATCCCTAGAGACAGAATGTAGAATGCTGGCAGAAAGATGACAAGGACTGCGGTGGGGGCGTTGGATGCTTAGTGTTTAATGGGTACAGAGTTTCAGTTTCCACAAAAATGTGAACACACTTAATGGCACTGAATTGTACACTCAAAATGGTTAAAATAGGAAGCTGTACATTATGTCTATTTTACCACAATTAAACACCAAACAGAAAYCAGGGCAGTGTACTACAGATTAATGCAGAATCAGAGAGAAGAAGGAAGTAGAGGCCTGGGAAGAGAGGATCAAGGCAGGTGGACAAGTTGCACCACCTGGGGGAGGCCCTTCAGAGTGGGAGGGGGTGTGAAAGAAAGAGTTGATGTGAAGATAAAAGAGCCAAACAATTAAAAGAAAAAGAGAAAAGACTGAAATTAATAAAATTAGAAATAAAAAGGAAATCACTACAGATATCTCAGAAATCCAGAGAATTATTAGGGACAGTTTTGAAAACTTATATTCCAATACTTGGAAAACCTAGAAGAAATGGATATATTTCTAGACACATATGACCTTCCAAAATCAAATCAATAAGACAGAGAAAACTTATACAGACCAATAAATTGAAATGAGATAGAAGCAGTAATAAAAGCCATCTGCTATGCTTTAAATATGAAGAGTCCCAAAAGCTCATGTATGAGACAATGCAAGGATTTCTAGAGGTGAAGTGATTAGAGAGGCATGGCCTAAGCAGTGGATTAATCCAGAGGTAACTTTAGGTGGGTAGGGTTGGCTACCTGGTTTAAGTCACTGCAGATGTGCCTTAGGGCTTATATTGTATAAATGAAGCTCTCTCTCTCTCTCTCTCTCTGCTTCTTGATCGCTATGTCCTGAGCTGCTATTCTACTCCATGCGATTCCACCATGATGTTCTGCCTCACTTAAGGCCCAACATAGTTAGCCATCTATGGATTGAGATCTCTAAAATCATGAGTACCAAATAAACTTTTCCTCCTCTAAAACTGTTCTTGTCAGAACTTTTGGTCACAGTAACAAAAAGGCTGACTAAAAGACCATTCAACAGAGAAAACCCCAGGAACACAATGATTCTCAGCTGAATTCTACCAGAACTTTAAAGGAGAACTCATGCCAATGCCCTTCATTATTTAAAAAATCGTATGCGGAAAAAAAAAAAAAACACTTCAAATTCATTCTATGAAGACAGTATCACCATCAGACCAAAGCCAGTATCACAACAGATCAATAACTCTGATGAACTTAGATAAAAAAATTTTAATAAAATATTAGCAAACTGTATTCAACAACATATTAAAATGATTATGCATCATGACTAAGAAGAATTTATCCCAGTGATGCAGTGATAGTTTAAAGTTCACAAAGCAATACATGTAATATACCACATGAATTGAATTAAGGAGAAAAAATCATACTTATCATAATAGATGCAGAGAAAGCCTTCAACAAAATTTGGCATTCATTCATGATAAAGACACCAAGGAAACTAGGCATAGAAGGAACTTACCTCATCATAAAATCTATATTCAACAAAGCCAAAGCCAACATCATAGTGAATGAGAAAAAACTGAAAGCATTTCCATGAAAATTTAGAACAAGAAAAGATGTCTACACTCATCACTCCTATTCAATATACTACTAGAAATTCTAGACAGAGCAAATAGGTAAGAGAAGGACATCAATGGGATAAAAATAGAAAAAGAAGTTGAATCATCAATGATTGCAAATTTAACAATTCTATACTTAGAAGATCCAATACTCCAATAATAAATCACCTGAGAAAGAAATCAGAAAATCAGCACCATTCATGATAACCTTGAAAAAGAAAATACCTTGCAGTAAATCAAACCAAGGAGGTAAAAGACCTCTACAATGTAAATCATAGAACATTGAAGAAAGAAACTGAAGAAGACACAAGAAGATGGAGAGAACTCCCACGTTCAGAGATAAACAGAATGAATATTGCTAAAATGAACATAAAACCAAAAGTAATACACAGATTCAATGTAATCCCCATCAAAATACCCCAATGAGATTTTTTTCACAGAACTACATAAAATAGTTCTAAAGTGCCTTTGGAAGAATGAAAGACCCAGAATACCCAAAGCAATTCCAAGCCTAAAAATCAATGTTGGAAGGATCACAAGACCTGACTTCAAACTATACTACAGTGCAATAGTAACAAAAAGTGCAATAGTAACAAAATAGTAACAATAGTAACAAAAAGTTATATATATATGTATATATATATTATATATATATATATATATAATATATATATATATATATATATAGAGAGAGAGTATATCAAGAGAACATATGTATATGTGATTATATATATATATATATATATATATAATATATAAAATGACACATAATGAGACAGACAAACTCACACAGATTATAGTCATCTGATCCTTCATAAAGTTGCTAAAACTCACATTGGAAAAAAACAGCCTTTTCAACAAATGGTGCTGCAAAACAGGCTGTCCATATGTGAAAAAAATGAGGCATGATTTTTATTTCTCACCCTGTACAAGTCAACTCAAAATGGATTAAAGTCCTAGGAATTAGGCCAGAA